TAAATTTTGTTCTAAAAGTGTTAATATGTTGATACTTAATGAAGTGAATTATAGCAAAGCAAAACTATAATTGAAAAATTATTTATATTTTTCGAAAAATTTACCATAGTTTTAAATTAATATTGTTACTATGAAGTTAAACAATTCGAATTTTAGTTGAAAATACATAAAAAATTTAAGTCGTAAATTCAATTATTGCTGAACCTCATATTCTAAGACAATTTACTCGTAAAATTATAGTTGAAAAATGGTTAAAAATCCTTTAATTGTGGTTCAGTGAAGCTTATAATTTTAATATTTAGACGGAACTAGATACTATCACATAGTAATTATTTTTAAATTTATATTTTTCTGAATATTTTTTTATTTTTTCTAATGAAAATCGATTTTACTCAATTTCATATCAAACAATTCATTTTTTTGAATACTAAGTCTAAAATTATGTTTAAATTAATACTGTGACAATAAATCAATTTTAACTGTTTAAACACACATTTTTTTAAATAGTATTCAGTATAATAAATGTTTATATAAATAAAATCATACATTAAAAAATCTAATATTTTTTATAGTGTAGTATTGAATAAGTACTCCTTTTAAGAAGTTTATTATTGATTAATTAAGATACTAATAATGATTTTTTATCAATATTGTGTGTTAACAATCTTCTTTGGGATATTTTGTAATATACCATTTATCACTTGTAGTTATTATTATATAGAGGAAGAAGGATTTATTGATGAACTTGAAGAAACAGAAAAACTTGAAGTAGCATTCAATCTTGATACTGGATTTTCTTATAATACTAACCCAGAAATGTTTGAAATGCATTTCGATGATTGGAAAGATACTATAATCGATAGAGAAGAACCAGGATTTGAAACGTATACCAAAACACAATTTATCTTCAAAGATCTTTATTGCGNGGCCTAGATGTCAATTTTAAACTTGTAATTGAGCTAAAAGTTATGGTAATATATTCAATTTTTTTTACTATAAACTTTCATAAATCTTTATCAAAAATGTTTCATCAACTTTAAAGAACCAAAAAAATAGGTTAAAATTGAAAATTTGGACTGATTATTTTTAACATATTAAAAATCAAATCAGTAATAATTTGAAAACAATTTTTTTTTTCTTTTAATTATTTTTTATATGTAATTAGTAATAATATAAAAAATTAGAACTGATAGAAAAAGTCTACTTGAAGATTTGAAAACAACGAGAAAATTTAATTTAAAAAAGTATATTTTTGCTTCTGATGAAAGTTCCTTGAAGTCCAGTGCATTCATTGATAATTATAGTATCAAGCATTTTAAATTTTTATACACGTAAAAATAAAGCAAAATACAACTTCTTTATTATTTTTAGAATTTCTCCGTTTAAATTACAATATTAAATTATTGAATATCAATTTCATACTAAATTTAATAATCATAATTAGTATTTATTCATATACTATATTTTAAAATCAAAGAACTACTATAAAATCTTATTATATAATAGAACAAGAAAAAAAACGCTTTTCTGGGAACATAACTTAGCGTGCTCGGATTTTCAAAATTTTTTTTTTCAACGAAAGTACTCGGTCACAAGACTCCGGGAAAATTATTGGTGAAGGTCGGAAAATATTTGCCGCTAGCCCGCGAGCGTTTGAAAATTTCAACCGTTTTCGAGATAAACGTTTGCTGACGACAGCGTTTTACGACTTAAGGTTTGAAATTTTCATCAGACCCGCCCAATGACATTGCTGAGATATGATAAAAAAATCAATCCAATCCGTTCATTTTTCACCGTTTTACGAGTTTTTTTTTTTTTTAAGTCCACGCGCATATTTTTAATATGCGCAGTGATTCATTTCTGCTCATACGTTTATTATGAACCTTAAGTATATGATGCAATATTTATTATTAAGACGCTATTTTGCATTTGCACTATATTTTATCAAGGAATGTTATATGTTTATATAAGTTTGTACTTTCATTATCAGAACAGTACTAAATACAGAGTTAATAATTTTCTTTTTTCTCATATATGTTGTATGAGTTTATCTTTTGAATTGGGGTTCATCTATGATAACTATGATGTTCATTGTTAAATCGCAGTTACCAATATATTTATCAAAATTAAATTTTTATTTTTAATATTAATTTTATTTTAATATTAATTTTAATTTAAGTTTACAGTGTGCCACTGTATATAACCTGCTAATTTTTTTTTAATTATTCTATAATATAAACACAATTATTTTAATTAGACTATTAATAATTTTTGTGTATAACAGGGGTGTATTTAAGAGAGATTGGCCCCTCCTTGAACAAGCGCTATCAATATTTTTTTAGGCAACTTCTAATAAATAAGGACCTAATGTCCTTTTTTTTCATCATTACTTTAATTTTAGCANAAATAAGGACCTAATGTCCTTTTTTTTCATCATTACTTTAATTTTAGAAAAAAAATTTCTATAACATGTTTAACATAGTAAAAAATATTAAATTTCTTCCTACAATAATTTTTGAATAGGCCTAAAGAGAATACCTCATTAAGAGGCTTCAACCTTATACCCAAAACATTTTACTATATTCTCTTTTTGAATTTTCCATTTTTTAATAATAACATTTTTAGATATAGTTTTGTTACACTGATTCTGAAGTAATATTTTTTATGAAAAACACTTATCGTGACCGGCGTAGCCGGGTACCCCTACCGGAATCAGTGGCCTACTTATGATGACGGCCCGAAGAGGCTTACGCGCCGAAGGGGTCAACCCAGCGATTCCTACCGTGATCCTGAAAGCTGAGGCTTTATATTCTAATTGTTTAATTATAATGAGGGCCCTGCGAGTCCATAATAAATTGATTATTTTGTATTTTAAATAAGAGAACCCTATTTAGGTGAACTTGTATAATCATAATATGTGACATACATGTACAAATGATAATATAATATTATATGTTAATATAATAAGTAATAATATAACATAACAATGTAATAAAAATAATTTATGTTATAAGCATAAAATATTATAAACAATTCTTGTAAATTTATAAATTTGATTAGTTAGTGAACCATAATACGCACAAAATCTATGAATTCATAGTTTGTTAAATAATTTAAATATTCGAAGCACAATGGATAATTTTTCATAATTTAACTGATAAATTAAAAACAATAACCGTTCAAATATTATTTATTTTATTATTATTGAAAACTCAAAATTAAATTTAGATTTTTATGAATTTCAATCAAAACAATTATAAGTCATTTTGATGATTTTTATATATATATATATATATATATATATATATATTATAGATCAAGAAATCTTTCTACTTGCCGCTTCCGATTTTTAGTTTAATTGTAGTCCGAACTAAATTGTTTGAACGACCAAAAAACCCTAAGTTTATGCTTATATATATTTTTAAAATATTCTAAAAATATATTAAACCTTTCGAAATTATCATTCAATCCTATGTTATCAGAGATATTTTTAAAAACTTCTATTTTTTCTTTTTTTTCATTGCTTATTTGAACTAATTTCATTAATGCATTAGTTTTCTCAATTGAATTCATGTTATATATTTCGTTAGTTACTTCTATTTGTAATATTTTAAATGACTCAACAACAAATGATTTTTCTATCATGTATTCAACCTTTCCGATGATATTATTATTTACATCATCATAGTCTTCAAAGTTTTTATTTGGTTTATATAATAATAAATCTGGGAAATATGTAAAATCAGGAATTAACAAATTAAATGTATACGTCGCAAGAAATTACACATTTGGGAATTATACTGAAACACAATAATTCCATCCTTATTTATTAAATACATTAGATGCTTTCTAATTAAATGTAAAATTACGACTCTAAAAATGTTAAAAATTTTATCATGATAAACTCTAATTTTCGAAATCCATGTATCAAACAAATAATAATTCTTTGCAGCTTGACATGCAATAATAATATCTTTTATAATAACTTTGAAAGTTTTCTTACTTTGTTCTCCGAAATCCATTATTATAGTTTTCAACATATTTGTATTTTGAATAATTTCGTGAAGATAAATTAAATTAAGAGAAACCCAATCTTCTGCTTCTTCACCGTGCAGTAAAATATTATTAATATTATTTCTATTTTCCATTACTATCTTTACTTTTTCTATCATTGAAATATTCTCATGTTTTTCTAGTGCGTAAAATTTATCTGTTATATTGTATTTATTATTTTCTCGACAGTTATTAGTAGTATAAAACGATAAACAATTTTTTATATTTTCTAGAATTGTCATAACATGTGATTTCATCGATAAAATATTCCCCATCGATTGGTATTTTATATAAATTGCAAACATGTACATTTTCCAAAAAGGCTGTAAATATTGTATTAGTACATTTACCTTTAATTGTACAGCTAGCATTTGTTGAATAATTGATTCATTCAACAATAAATGATCGTATTCATAAGTAGAATCATATTCTATTAAGGATTGAATAGAGTTTATGAATTGTAAAAAATTATATAAATCACCGCAATAAAGATCTTTGAAGATAAATTGTGTTTTGGTATACGTTTCAAATCCTGGTTCTTCTCTATCGATTATAGTATCTTTCCAATCATCGAAATGCATTTCAAACATTTCTGGGTTAGTATTATAAGAAAATCCAGTATCAANCATTTCTGGGTTAGTATTATAAGAAAATCCAGTATCAAGATTGAATGCTACTTCAAGTTTTTCTGTTTCTTCAAGTTCATCAATAAAT